GCAGAGGACAGGCTGCCTCGTTTCCTCACCCATCTCCTGTTCTGCTTTCTAGGAGACTCTTCAAGGAGTCGCACAAAACCAAGCTCCAACACCGGTGAGTACAGGACCCCCTTCCCTCCGTCTGCGGACAGCCGGGGCAGGAAAGCGCCGGGGCAGGGCGCCGCCACCGCCTCCCCTAGCTCTGGGATCCCGGGCTTGCCGCCTCCCGCCCCCCACCCCCGACGCTCCCACTGCAGGAGGAGTCTGGGCCAGTGTAAGGCTCAGTGAGGACGCTTCACCTCCTCCAAGAAAGGAGGATGAGAAAAATAAACCTGACCCCCTTCCCCAGAATAACGCCATGAGTATTATGTCCCCATTCCCAACTGGAGATGAGAATTTTGAAGACCCGAGGAGGGAGAAGGCAGCGGCTGACGAGGGTGATGGGCGAAGTCCTGTTTGCCAGGAAATGAGCTCTTGCCTGTGGGGATGAACTCCTGATGTGTTCAGTAGAGCAAAAGCCTTGCAGTGAGAGGCAACCGGATTCATCCACACATACGGCTCCTTCATCAACTTATTCGTTCAAACGCTGTTCCATGCGCTGGATGTGCACTGTGCGTTCATTTCCTGTGGCCTCTGTAACAGATCTTCCCAAACTTAGTGGATTAAAACACCACCGTGTTTTAAGTTATTTACAGTTGCTTAGCTGAGAAGTCGGAAGTGGGTTACACTGGGCTAAAATCAAGCAGGCAGCAGGGCTGCCTTCCGTCTGGAGACCCCAGGGAAGAACCACTCCCTTGCCTTTCCCAGCTTCCAGCGCCTTCTTACACTCCTTGGCTCACGGTCCCCTTCCCCGTCTTCAAAACCAGCAATGGCTGGTCATGTCTAGTTCGCATCGAATCCCTCTGGCCCTCATTCCTTCGCACATCTCTTTCCCCAATTCTCTTCTCCCTCCCTCTTTCTCTTTTAAGAGCCCTGTGATTACACTGGGATCATCCAAATAATCCAGGATAATCTCCCCACTTTAAAGTTAACTGTTAAGCAACCTTAATTCCTCCTCACGTAATATAACACAGTCACAGGTTACGAGGACTGGGACACAGGCATTTGGGGGCAGATATATTTTTCTGTCTACTACTGGTAAACAAGGTGACTTTGGCCTCGGCTCTTGGGAGTTGATATTGCAGTGTGGTTAAGTGGAAGGGCAGAAAGTGAATACACAAATGGAAGAATGGTTGAATAATCCATCACGAAGCAACTACGCATGAAATTTTAAATGAAGTGATAGATAACGCTCAGTGGACAATGTAGGCTGCCTGAGAGGGCCTATCTCACTCATCACGCAATATTTATCTTGTGACATTAATGGCAAGACGCGTTTAACTCTTCGATGATCAGTGGAAGAAAATTCCAAAGCTATCAGCCATGAAGGTACCAACATGAGAAGAATCTTACGTCAGGGAGGAATCTCTGCCTGGAATGCTACGAGTGAGGTGGAAAGAATTACCAGATGAACGTAGGGAGATAGAGAGGACCCAGGCTACACAAGAGAGCTAAGCGAGAACAAGGGGCCTGTGGTATACGTTCACTGCCACTGGGAGCCACCGAAGGGCCTACTAGGAATCCGTTTATGATTGATAACAACTTCTGTGAAACAAATAGGGTGCGTTACTGGAGCCCGGGAGACCCCTGGCTAAGCGGTTTCTACCTTCCTGGTGAAGTATGGCGCCAGCTTAGACACTGATTTAACGAAGTGGATGGACGTGAGATGTGTTCATGTGGCAGAACATTTTGGAGGGCGGTTCTATTGGATCTGGTACCTCCCAGTTGCTTGGTCTTGGGCTCATTAATTACTCCCTGAGATTTATTTCCACTGCGTCTAAATCCGTACTTGGCAGGGGAGAGAACAAATATAGGGTGGTGCAAATAAAGGCATTCATTCAGCGTAATAGTAATAATATGCCAGCATGACAGAGGCACTTGGCTTCAAGTCATTATTATTCCACGTCTGTATGATTACATCTTTTACCCACAACAAAGTTAAGCTGAACCTCTTTCCTTTGAGGCTCCTGTGAAGACGAGGTCAGACCAGCAATGTGAAGCGTTACACCCTCCCCCACAGCACAGTCCTGGACTAGAGAAGGTGCTGCATGCATGGTGCAACGCCTGCCCGCTTCCATCCCCCGCACGCCCAAGCCTTCACTTCACCCCCGGTTCCAATTATATGTGTAGACACAGATTCACCTGGGAGGTGAATACAGTATTCTTCTGAGTGAGTTCAGGTCTCGGGTGGGACATAGCACTATCTCCTGGCCCACTTCCCTCCTGATTTCCAGAAGGACTGGTTTCGTTGGGGCAGGGAACGGACAGCAACAAAATATGTCCAGCAGAGCGTCAACCTAACGTGTACCTCACGAGATCACAGAAAGTAAATACACTGCATTCTGCAGCCCTGGGCTCACGTGTCTTGTCACTTCCTGGCTGTCTGACATGAGACAACTTCATTTACTTTGATCTTCATTTCACCTTTTTCTTTTCTTGGAGAATTTAGTTTGTTTGATTCAAGCGTGTTGTGGAGATAGGGGTACTGTATTCATTTACCTGGCAACCAGTAACGGAGACCTGCTATGGTTTGCTTCTTACTGGATCCACATCTTCCTCCAGGTAACCTGCATGTTGTGGTTGGGCCCTCAGCGGCCATCCTGTTCCTTGCCATCCTTCCTTTCTTCCTCATCCGTCACTGGTGCTCTGCCAAAAAGAGTAAGTCTCAGAAAGCAGGGGCCAGTGCTATCTGGGCAAAGTGGGGGGTGGGGGGTGAGGGTGTGCAGGTCTGTGTCCTATGGCTGCAGGCTGATACCCGGTTCAAGGCAGGGGCCGTAGAGACAGAGCTTTCAGAGGAAGCATCAATGCCCCTGTCTCTTTCCCTTTCCAGACCATTGCCTAATTCTCCACTGTATCCTCTTGTCCACTGTAGCCATTAATGTCTAGAAACAGGATCTACCTAAGGGAAAAAGTAGGGGTGAGAATCAGTGGTATAGAAATTGGGAGCTGTCGATGGGATGGGTGTTTGAACTTCAAAGAGGTAAAATTTCTGATTCTACCATGGGGTGGATGAGCAATCCCAGACGTCCATGGCATCTCTCTGTGCACTGGTACCTGTATCTATAGAATGAGAGTCCAGAAGCACCCTCCCAAGTGCTTTGATGACTTCTGTCGCCTACAGATGCTGCCACAGTGAACTGCAAGCCTGAGGTGCCCAGGATGGTGAATAGGGCGGTAGGTTCTCTCTCGTGCAATCTCTCAACGTTGTCCCACTTCCCTGCAGTCCCCACAAGTGTTTGCACACCCTCACTCATCATGTCCCTTTATGCAGGACCCTGAAACAGAAGAACCAAGGGAGGTGGCATACGCACTGTGGGATCATTGGACTTCCACACAGAAAAAGGTCGCTCCCACTTCCCAGAGGCCCACAGAACCCTCAACCGGTACCAGTGTGTACGCGGATCTTGCAGCACACTGAGACCAGAGCAAGGCTGGAGTCCTCTCCCCTGAATGCGCACAGGAAGACCTTCCACGGATGCCACAGCTCTTTCTCACACCCAGCCTGACAACTCCATCGTAACAACAGCTAGAATCTGAGGGCGTAAATCTGCATCTCCAGGGTCATCCCTCTTGATCACAGGGCATCTCTAAAACCTCACGGCCCCTCGGAAACCCCCCAGCCACTCTAGGATGTTACTATAATGATTCATTCATTTCCAGTATTATCAACAAAATCACCCAAGTGTTCCAGAAAATTCAAACATAATTAGCCCACTTTCTCTGACATTCTACTGATGACATTCTAGAAATCATGATATATTTAGTCAATGAATTAATTCTTCCAACAGCCTTCTATAGAGGTACAGCGTCTTCTAAGTCTTTAAGCAAATATTAGCGAAGAAAATTCATATTCTTGTGGATCTTGGTCTAGTAGGAGATGCCAGCAGGTGGAACTATTGAATGCCATCTACGGAAGAAAGGGAAATGCAGAGAGCCCCTCCCTGCATGACCTTTGGCCACTTTTGCTTATGTCAGTCTGTCCAAGCAATTTCTACTCAGCACAGATACGAGCATGCCTCCCTCTTGCTTACCAATTTTATGGCCTCATTACCTCCTTGAGAGAAACTAAGTTCCCGTGCTTAGCCCGCAATTCTCTGTCTCACTTGACCACTGCCAACGTCGACATCATAGCCACCTGTACTTTCACATTTCTACTGGAAGTTACAGCCATGCTGAGTAACTCATAGTCCATAAACGTTAGGTGCTCACTCTTTTTTTTCCTTTCACACCTAGCTTGAAATCCTTGCTGTAGACAGTTTTCTTCAAGTGTGAGTTCATGTCCCAACTTGAGCTCTAGAGCCCCAGAAATAGATTTTCAATTTCTTGATAACCAAAAGTCCTTAGATGTCTTTACGATAGTATGATTTTAGTGGAGAAGCCAACTGGTGTATTCATGATGCAGCTGAACACTCCATCTTCAGTGAGTGACAGTGTCGCTTGTTTATTTGTAAGACTTTATTTTTCAGAACAGTTTTAGGTTTACAACGAAATTGAGAGGAAGATGCAGAGACTTGCCATGTACTCCCTTCCCCACACATGCATAGCCTCCCCCATTATCAGCACCATTCACCAAATGGTACATTTTTTACCAAGGATAAATCTACACTGACTCACCACAGTCTCCCAAAGTTCCTAGTTTACCTGAGGAACGCTCTTGGTGTCACCATTGTATGGGTTTGAACAAACAGATAAAAACATATATCCATCACTGTAACATCACACAGAGTGCTTCCACTGCCCTAAAAGCCCTCCGTGCTCTGCCTCTTCATTACCTCCGGCAACCACTGAACTTTTCATTGTCTCCATGGTTCTTCCTTCTCCAGAATGTCATATAGCTGGTATCAGAGTAGGAAGACTTTTCTGATTGGCTTCTTTCACTGAGGAACATGCATTTAGGGTTTCTCCATGTCTCTCCATGGTTGGACAGCTCTCTTGTTTCTAGCAGTGAATATTATTCCACGGGCTGGATGCACTGTGATAATACTGTAAATACAGCTGTAGTTTACTTACCCGTTCTCTTGCTGAAGGACATCTTGCCCTCTGACTTCTGTTGGACGCGGCCAACAGGTCTCATTCTAATGACGCCGAGTCAGTTTCATACCCCAGTGCTGTCTTTAACTGCTATCATTTAGGTAATTTCACCCTAACGTGTATTGCCTCTGACTATCAAAATCAGCCATTATGACAATAGAATTCTCCAAGACCCCTTGCTGGGGCAGAACCTGGGCTCAGACTCTGTAGATAATTTTGTCATACAGATGGACCGAACAATTGCATTGTTCTCATGGGCTAAAATGGGAAACGTGCTGTCAGGGATAAGAGATAAGTTTTATTAATATTGATCATTTTTTCTTACTACAGAAAAAAACTTTCATTTTTTTGTATAAAATTTGGAAAACAGAGATAGCTTAAAAAGATCAAATAAATCTATAATCAGATAATTATTCTAAATTCTTTATTTCTTCACTTTTGGCTTGAAATATCTCTGTGTACAGTCTGACAACATTTTAAGTATATATTTTTCTGCAACCACCACCCGTACCAAAATGCAGAGCACTCGTAACACCCCAGAAGGATCCCTCAGCTCTTTCCAAATCCGTGCTTCCCTCGGGGGTTCCACTGCTCGGACTTCTGCTGCTACGTCGCTACAGATAAACAAACAAGTAAATAACCTGTCTGTCACCTACCATTGCCCTTTCTTGCTACCACTGAATTTCATCTACACAGAATCGCATAGTACGTACTTTCACGACTGGCTTTTTTCATCCCACATTGAATTCTGAAATTTAATCATCCCTTTGTGTGTGAGAGCTTTCTCCTTTTCCCTCCTGTGTAAGAATCTATAGCATGAATACGTCAAATTGTGCATCTAGTTCTGATGAGTCTCTCAGACTCTGATGTCTTAATTTCGTGTGCTCCTGTCCTTCCAGAACCCTCCAGATAGATCCACCCATTCCTACCGGACTCTGGGAAGCTCTGCCAGGGCAGGCCTGGGCGTCCGCAGATGGGAGACACCTGTAAGCCCTGATTGCCAGGAAGGTCCAAGCCAGCATTGCCAGTATGGGGTCTGGCCCTCACCGCCTTTGCAGCTACCACCTCGGGGCGCATCATAGGGCCCCGTGTGCCCCATGTCTCAAATCAGTATAGACACCTGTCCCCAAGGCTCAAGACAAGGAGATCCAGTGTGAACTGTTAGCTCTATCTGGATGATTCTGAAAGAAGACAAGAGTACAAGAAACTAAGACACTTGGGAGACCCACCACAACTGCAGGTCCAGCGACACCTTGGGTGCAGAGTGGGCACCGAAGTTAGCATCGCTAGTGAGCAGCAGTGGAGACGATGGCTTCGCGTGCAGCGCCCGCTCTGCGAAGTGTGTTTCACGTGTATTTTCTTGCCGAATCTTTATATATAACTTATCAGAGATACTTGTTATCGCCACCTTGCAAAGCAGGGAAATTCAAAGAGATTAAAGGCCACACAACACAGCAGCCACTGTCGACCACGATGGGGTCCCCAGCAGAAGAGTCCTGAGCTGCTCTTCTGTCCGTTGAACCACCCCCTATAAACAAGTATCACACTGTGGAGTTAGGGGGTTGGTCCAGACACGGGCTTTGAGAGACACTTGGGTCTGGGGACAAGGTGAGACTCTGGATTTAGTCTAAAAAATTTGCAGGAAGACAGATATTTTTGTTCAGCCCGTGTTGTGGGGAAACCAAAGCTAAGCATGGAAAAGAAGGAAGCTGTTTAGCCTCCTCTGTTGTCATCAGTGTGCAGACGGACCTGAAAGCGACGCTGGGGCCTGACAGACCACAACCAGTGCGTGAGCCAGTTCTGTGGGGCCCCTGTTTCTGTGTAACAGAGGTGTGCAATAGTCAAGAAAAGAAAATAGCATATTAGGTCTTAATAAGAGCTGGAAGGAAAATGAAGGGAAAGGCATGGTGGACTTACCTGGAATTGCAGGGCAGAATTTTTCAGAGATCAGGGCATGCACTCAAGAGAGTCAGCAAGGATGACTGAGATTTTCCACAACCCCAGGTCTTTGGAGCACTTCTATTTTGGAAGCTAGAGGTAAGAGAAGAGCTTGGGGAGGAGGTTAAATTTCCAAGTGGCTTCTCTTAGAGCGTTATGAATCTGTATGACAAGTTGTTTTCTTTCCCCAAACCACAATATCTTCATTCTTGGCAGAGAAGAAAGAGGCTCCTTCAAGGATCTGGGAAGAAAAACAAAAGTGTTTGGAATCGGCTTGATTCTGGGAGGGACCTGGTTGTTGAGGCTCCATGTTACAGCAGATTAAAGGATTAAATTTGTGCCTGGAAATCTGTTCTAGAGGCCTTCCCACCAGGCTGACCTATATTCCATGGTCCTCAGTGTGGCCCATGTCCTGCGGAAGCTTAGCACCTCAAGAAAGGGACATGGGATGCTGCGGGGTGCGCACAGCTCAGTGACGTCCCAGAACAAGATCTGCTTCCTCAGCCTGCACGTGCCAAAAGACGCCGCGGCAGCGGTTCTCAGCGGGGGCAACGTCGCCCACTGTGAGTCATCTGGCAATGCCTGGAGATATTTTCGGCTGTCGTGACTGTAGGGGAGGCTACTGCTGGCATGTAAAGGACAGAGGTCACGGATGTCCTGCACGATGCGCAGGACAGCGCCCCCACAGCAGAGAATCACTGTCTAGCCCCCAGAGGTCAACAGTACTAAGGTTGATAAGCCCCTGCCTAGGATATAGCGCTTGTCCCGATCTCAGTAGAACCAGCTGGTCGATGTGCCTTCAACCTCCGAACACGTGGCATGTTCTGAGAGAGGCGCACTTTTTACAATGACAAAGCCATGTTTTATTAGACAGCAGTATGGATGGGTGGGCAGATAGAGACACACGCATGCATATATATGTATGTATATTCATACATGTGAGAGAAATACACACATGAAAATATATACACACGTCACATACATAAAATACATATAGCCTAAGATATATGCATCTTAAGCCATACTTCCATTTATTCTTTGATATAAAATATTTCACATATCGAAATACACCATGAAAGGCTTCTTTAAACATTCCTCAAGACTCTAAGTTCCAACTTCATTTTCAGGAAGACGTGCTGTGTCACCCCAAAGTGCAGTGTACCCTCCAGCTTACAACCAGCTGCCTACACACACTCTAACTTGGGAATGCGAGAGAGGAAATGCGCGAGAGGGAGACGCCTAACTGGACATCCTCCTCCTGTATCTCTGAGGTCAGTGGGTAGAGGAGCAGCTGCCCTTCCTCCTCCTCGAAGCAAAGGCTTCCCCCCTTCTTAGGTACTGGGGGGACACCCTGCAACACCCCAGTGAGGTCTGCAGATCCCCACCGCCACTTACAGCTTGGAATCGACACAGTCACCCCACACAGGGAGGAGGGGACTGCTCGCGGTGAGTGGATAACCGCTTAGGCAGCTTCAAGGCAAAACTCCTCTTAGTTCTGAGGCCCAGGAATACCCAGGACAATAGGTGCTTTGATTCTTATCGTCCTGGGCCACAGAGTGATTGTTACAAGATGGGTCCTAAGGGGATTCCTGAACAGCAGAGACGGGAGCATGCGGGCTGTGTCAGTCAGGGTTCTCCAGAGAAACAGAATCAACAGGATATATGCAGGTGGTATATACAGGTGTACTCATGAGGAGAGAGAGAGATTTTTTGTAAGGAAGTGGCTCGTGCTATTACAGTGGCTGAGCAGTCCCGGGATCTGCAGTCAGCGAGCGGGAGACCCAGGAGGGCTGATGTTCAAGTTCAAGATCAAGCAAGTTCGAGGGCCAGGAAAGCAAGTCGGGTAGGAGTTTCCTCTGACTGACGAAGGATCAGTCCTTTTGTTCTGTTTATACAAAGCAGCTCGAATGAGGCCCATCCATCTGCCCACCTCCTCTACCAATTCAGATACTAACCTCATCCCAGACACCCTAAAGGCACACCCAGAACAATGTTTAACCGAGTGTCTGGGCTTTAGCAGATGGGGTCAGCAACCTACAGCCTGCAGGCCAAGTCTAACCCCACCTAGTCTGGGAAACAAAATCTTACTGGAGCACGGCCATGCTCATCACTCACTCTCCTGCTACGCTGGCAAAGCCGATCAGTTGTGACAGAGATTACATGGCCCGCAAAGCCTAAAGGGTCAACTCTCTGGCTCTTCAAATGTGCTAACTCATGGACCAGAGCCTGGGGGTCGGCCTAGAGGTCCGAGAAGGCTTCTCAGCAGCTCTCCAAAGTCCAGGCCTAGACTCACGGGCTCCCCTTTATTCATCTAGACTCAGGAGAGACTCTAACACAATTGAAATTAATGGGCCAAAATTGGCCTGAGAGAGAGAACAAAGCAATCCGTGGGAAAGACTCTAGGCCACTTTACCATTCCTCTTCCATAAAAGGAGGTAACGAAAGAAAAAACTCACACCAAAAGCTATGCTGACTTAACCCAATGCGCCCCTGCTCATTAATGTGGCTCCAGCCAGTCCCTGCAAGTCAACCAACCAATGGTTTCTTCTCCCTAGAAAATCACTTAGTTTTTAAGCAATAATGATAGTATTTTTCATCAGGCCATTCTGCCTCTAGAATCCACGAATTTTTTCACTATTCCTCTAACCCATTTTTAAATATGCAACTAAGAGCACAGACATTCTTTTTCTTCCTACCCAAGCCACATTCAAATGAGAAGGGAGGAAGGAATGAAGGACGGAAGGAAGGAAGGATAAATCACAAAAAAGAAAAACTGGAATATGGACAATTTTCCACAATCTACATCACTGAATTTTTAGGTAATATATGAAGACTGGCGAAATGCAATGAAAAAGACACAACTTAAATTTGCACAAAATAAAATAGCTCAGGTGAGAGCTGACTTGCCTTCAAAAAAGATGAGAGAAGCTCATGACTTTAAAAAATACTCAGTGTGTTGAAAGGCAAGGTTACCGGGGCTAACAGGCGGAGAAGTGGGGAGACGTCGGACAAAGACCACAAAATTTCATTGTAAGATGAGTAATTTCTAAGGATCTAATGTACAGCATGGTGAGTAGAATTAATAATACTGTGTTCTATACTTAAAAGTTTCTGAGAGAGTGAATCGAAATATTCTCACCACAAAAAAGGAAATGGCAACTACATGAGGTGATGGAGGCATTAGTTAACGTAACAGTGGACATCATTTGTCAGTACAGAAGTGTATCAAACCAACATCTTGTACACCTTAAATTTACACGGTGTTACGTCAAATATATCTCAATAAAACTGGAAGAAAGAGTTACGTATCACAATGAAAATGAGGAAGCCAATAGAAAGTTAGATTTGAAATGTTTGACTGCTTATTCTTGAAGAACTAGTTATTCAAGAAGCCAGGTATAACCAAATTATCTATCTATCTGTCCTCTCTATCCATCAATCCATCATTTACCAATAGATTACAGATGTAGATATAGACACAGATACAGATTAGACACGGGCATTGGAGGTTTTTATTTAAAGTTGATGGATATCTTCTTCAAAAAAAATCCCTCTACGTGCTGGCATTGAGATAACCCCAGCAAAAGAGAATACTGCCCGCCTGATCAAGCCCTAATGGGCATCTTTAGTCCATGAATTCTGGGGAGGACATGTGGACCCATAATAGGCAAGGCCATATGGCTTTTGACTGATGGACCAATGAAGAAAGATCTCTGTGTGGCACCCAACTTATATTCTGTCCCAAGCCCCTCCATTTGGGTGTGCAGTCTTATCTGAAGAAGGATGTGAGCCCCATTAGACACTGGTTGAGGAAAATACTCATCTGAGACAGTCAGGAAGACTAGCCCCCTCTTAGGCTCCACCCAAGAGCTCCCCAGGACTAAGTATTTGGGAAGGAACCATTCCTGTGGAGCAATAGATGCAGAAATTCTCTGACGAGGAGCCTTGATCTCACACTTCCTCTGGATCTTACCGTCTTGTGAGAATCTGTCATCGGCTAACATGCACCAAGAGTCTAACCGGGCTGAGGCTGGCCGTGTCAGAATCATGGCCCCCAGAGACACCGCCCTCTTCTGCCTTGGTGAGTCCTGACATGGAGTGGGTCAGAAGGAAAGGCGGGGGAATCCCCAAACAGTCAAGATCTCTCTTAACATGAGAATTCAGCTGCCAAGAAGACTTTGATCGCCCTAGCGGAGAGGTGGTCTCTGCCCAGGAATCTGTAACTCTTTGCCCAGAATCTGTCTGTCCAAGTCCGTGCTAGCTTGTAAGGCTCAGTGGTCAAGCTGCCAAGTTGACCTCGTGGGGCTCATTCAGCCCAAGCCACGCTGTCTAGAGATCCAGAGTTCCTACAGCTGAGAGCCTCAGGGGCTGGAACCTAGCAGATACAACTACAAGATGAGCCTCAAGGCGGTGTTTTCTGTAGAAGAAAAAACATGACGCCTGTATGTCACTATGTTGGGTGATTTACAATAACGATTGGAATTTGGAGGGTTGATTTTTCCTGAATGTCTCTCTTCCAGTGCTTTATCTGGGCCAGAAGATTCAGGCACAGGATGGTAAGCATTCCCCTAAATCTCCTCCACGCCCCCTTCACCCTCAGGGCGTCTCTGGGTTAGAAGGGCTGGAGAGATTGTCTAAAGCCGAAAGGAATTCCCACTTTATTCCCCATTCTGGTTGTCTCTGCTGTGCTCCCTTTGAACGACTTCACCTTCACTTTGGCATCTTCAGATCCCTGATCCCTCTGACTCATCATGCTCAGACCTGGAATTCGTCTTTGCCTCTGTTAGGCCGATTGTCCAGCAAAGACGTGTATTTTACTGTGAATGCTCACAACTGTAGGGATAAGGAAGTCAGGAGCCACAGCTGATTGCCTAACATCCTTCCTGTATCGAATGAACTTGTTTTCACAACCAGTTCTCCCCAGTCCATCCACGTTGCTTCATTTAAAGGGACACTGCCTTGGTCCAGCCCTCCTGCAGCATCTGTGTACTCCTCCGCGCTCCCGGAGTCCTAAGCACTGAGCAGTGCTAAGCTACCCCAGCACATTCCATCACCCCACCTACCTTGGCCTCCGAACGGGTGTAACCCCATGCCCACCCTTGTCTTGTTTCTTCCACTTCCTTCTAAAGACCGTAGCTTGGATTATTTGTGTCTAAAATACAAACATATTTACCTCCCTCTAAAACCACCTCAGAAGTCTGTCTTCAGATAAGCCCCCGGGCTTCCCCAGGTCCCTCAAGCCCTGCCCACCGGGCTTGTGGTTGCTCGTCCGCACGTCTCCTCCTCCTCTCTCTGAGTCTCTGACCTTCACCCATGCCGACCTGAATTTAGTTTCTCTTTTACTCACTGCACGGTGTTAACCCAGGGCCATCTCCCTCGGCCCCTCGTACCTGCAATACGCCAAACCTTCCCATCCACGCCACCCAGGCGGCTCTTACTAATCCTCGCGTGTCAGCTGAGCCCTCCTGTCTGCCGTCAGATCCCCAAGTCCTACACCTCAGTAACTGCAGGCCATAGATCATGACCAACGGCCACACACTTCTGTATTTTTAAAATTAATAACTGACATTTTCACACCATTCTTCCCTTAAAGGCATTAACCACGTCTGCTTAGGTCAGAGGTGACCAGGGGCTGAGCAAAAAGGGGGTGGGGAGTTACTGCTTAACGGTTACAGGGATTTTGTTTGGAATCATGGAAAAGTCCTGAATATAGACGGTGGTGATGGTTGCACAATATGGTGAATGTAATTGATGCCGCTGAGCCGTACACTTAAAAATGGTTTAAATGGTAAATTTTACATTAATATAACACATCTTATTTTACCATTTACAATTAGAAAATACCCAAAAAAAATTTTAAGGAGGGAACTGTAAGTCCTTCCCACGTTATTTGTTTCGCCCACAGAGAAAGAAAAATCTGGTTTCTCCACGGCAGGCCACCCAAGTCTGGGCTCTGCTTCCTTCCAGGCGACCTTCCCATTCCCACCATATCTGCCACGCCTGGCTTCCTGGTTGCCCGGAATGAGTCTGTGAAAATCCTGTGCTGTGGAACTCCTGAGTCTTACCTGTACCAACTGGAGCTCCTGGGAAACGCCACGTACAAAGTGGTGGAGAAGAAGCTGGGATTTCAGAAGGAGGCTGAGTTCACCATTAACCACGTGGGTGTAAACTCCGCGGGGCGTTATCGGTGCCAGTACAGGAAGCAGCTCCGCTGGTCAGAGCACAGCGAAGCCCTGGAGCTGGTGGTGACAGGTGTGGAGGCACCCAGGGTCCCTGTGGCCCTGGGGTGTTTTTCCTTTCTCATTTCTTCAGAGATGCGATTTTTAGGACAGTTTCAGATTTACAGAGAAACTGAGAAGCTGTGACGGAGAGTTCCTGTATGCCCAGCACCCAGTCTCCCCCGGTTTCCTGCTGCATGGGTCCAGCCCTCAGTTCTAAGCTCTGTCCTCTGTCCTCGCCAGGGCCTAACCCTGTGTCTAGAAGTTTGCACCCCAAATTCCCAGGTCCTTCTAACTATCCTATTTACACAAGGTCGATTCCTTCAGCCCCTGACATAGCCCCTCAAACCATCTGGATACCATCCCCCTTTACCAGCATACGGCTTGTAACCTGGTGCTACCTGGTCTTTGTCCTGTTCCTGGCAATTTCCCCTGGAATTTCCCAAGTGACCAGAGTGATAGATGCGTCTCAGTATTCATAAGAAACCCCTTTCAACCACACGTGACTTTATGTTAATGCGGTGAGTTTTGGAAAGCAGCTAAGGATAGGGTCTGGTAGCCAAGGGAAACAACCAATTAATTGGAGGGTTGGAACTTTCAGCCCCACCCTCCACCCCACCCCCGCCTGGCCTCCAGGGAGGGGAGAGAGGCTGGAGGTGGAATCAACTGCCAATGGCCAATGATTTAATCGGCCCCGCCTATGTAATGAAGCCCTATGCATCTCTTCCATCTGGCTGCTCCTGGTACATGCTTTCATAATAAACCAGGAATCTAGTAAATAAACTGGTTTCCTGAGTTCTGTAAGCCACTCTAGCAAATTAATTGAACCCAAGAACTGGTTTCTGGAATCTTCTGGTTTATAGCCTTTCAGCCAGAAGCACAGGTGACCACCTGGAGTTTCGACTGGCAGCTGAAGTGAGGTGGGGGCGGGCCTTGCAGGACGGAGCCCCCAGCCTGAGCCATCTGATTTTAACACCAGGGAGACCGTGTCAGAATTGGTTTGAATTGCGGGGTGCCCACCGGGTGTCTCAGAAGTGCTAGGTGGTGTGGGGAGAAGCTCACACGTTGCAGTGGGGAGCAGAACTGTGCGGCGCTTCTGACTGCTAGACTGCTGTCTCCTGAGGATGGCATCTCCTCCCAGCCCCACAGGCTGCTTGTCTGCTCAGCCACGTCTGCAATGATTTGGGACAGAGTACAGGCCTGCGGTAGTGAAATGGGGTATTCCCAGCTCCCATGGCTGTGCAGCAGGGAATGTCAGCATCTTCTCTTAGTGCGGATCCAACAGGAGGGACAGGGATAAAGGATGAAAACAGACCTTGCTCACAGTTACTTCTACTCTCTTCTCTTTAGGCTTGTATGACAAACCCTTCCTCACGACAAATCAGAGCCTTGTGGTGACGCCGGGGGAGAAGATTTCCCTCCGGTGCAGTTCAGCACACATCCCGTTTGATAGATTTTCACTGAGCAAGGAGGGGGGCGCCACTCTGTCACAGCACCAAAATGCGGGACACCAGGGTGACTTCATTCTGGGCCCTGTGAACTCCAGCTTCTCAGGGAACTACACATGCTACGGCTGGAACAGTGGCAGCCCTTATGTGTGGTCAGCCCCCAGTGATGCCCTGCAGCTTGTGGTCACAGGTAAGGGCACCCCAGCCCAGCCCTATGTCCGCCTCCTCTGGGCTCTCCCTGGCTGTCCACCAGGCTGACATCAGGCAGGACTACAAAGATATGCTCTGAGAATGAACAGTGGGGCAGCAGAGAGTGGTTACTGGGAGGACCATGATGAGAGAAGAAGCAGTTCTCACTCACGTTATGTCTGACACTCACATCCTCTCCTAGAGTTCCCCACACAGTGTCCTTTGAAAACACGAGGCCTGTTGAGAACAGAGAGGCCACGTTCACACACACATTAAAGGGCATTGTTGAGACAGTAGGTACCAGACACGACCTTACAGTAACCCGCCTCCCTTCTCAAGTGCTTAGTTGCAGCTGGGAATCCTTACACTGACCTACAATTCTAGAATCCACTCTGAGTGGTTGACTGGTAACTCATGGCTCACGGGGACGACGCTAGAAAACTCCATCAAGAGCCTCATTTTTATGTGGTTGGCATACATCACTCTGCCCAGAGGACAGGAGTTACAGCAGGGGAGGCAACTGCTGGCTACTGAGCGGGGCGACCACATTTGTCTCTCACGTCTGCCTTGTCCAGTCATTCTACAAGCTAAGGGAACACGAGTCATGGCACTGCAAGATCGTGTGGGCTAAATGGCCTTCCCAGTTAATGGTGCAACTGGGAATCCACGGAGGATGGGTGAATTCAGTAGTCCTTTCCTTTAGGGTAGATAGTCGTTGTGTCTTGTTTTAGAAATCACCTGCTAGCCCAGTGCCAAGGTAATCCGCTCCTGTATTATCTTGCCAAAATTGAAATCGTTTGCATTTTTATTTAGGAATTACTTTGGAGTTCCAAATTTGTATCTGGGATTGATTTCTGTGTTTTAACAGGAGAGATTTACTAGGATTTCTGGGCTTTGTAACTTCACAGTGTGCTATTACATTCCTGAAAGGAGCATAGAACCATGAAGCCCATAAAACAAATGAAGACACTTTTAAAGGTTCAGAGAAGAGAAATGTCTAGATGGTCACACAATAGTGGAGATAAATTTTACCTAAGTTTATCTGAAATGTTTCTCCCATCCGCTTCCCAGACACCAACCATCCTGTACCCTCTGTCTTGTACGAGAAAGGAACACAAATTGTCATGTGGGGTGAAGAAGAGTAGAGGAGAGACTTTCGGGCTCTGGATTTATGAAGATGTTGCAGGGATATGATTAGACAGTCAGTGAAACCCTCATGTCTGGAGGAATGGAAAGCAAACACAGCTTCCCTATGACCACCTAAGATTCCCCTGGGAACCACAGATCCCCACCCTCGGACCCGGGCTTGAGATGAAGTGTGGCCTCACAGATGCACGCGCTCACTGAGGGGAGGGTCCCAGTAAAGCCACAAACAGGGAAATGAGCTCCCTTTCCAGGGCTCTTGGGTGGGGATGGAATGGAACGTGACCAGGATCATTCATCTCCTCTGAATTATGTCTCTAGATACGAGGAACCACGATTACATGACAGGGAATTTGATCCGGATGGGTGTGGCGGGGCTGGTCCTAGCGGCTCTCCTGGCCATACTGGCTGAACATTGGCGCAGCCATCAGGTTCCACACAAGGAAGACCAGAAAGATCGGCCTGAACTGAGCTGGAGTGAACAGAAATGTCAGGCAGAATGAACCTCTGGATTGACTCCTGAGTCAGCAGGCAGACACCAGGCACTGGAGCAGGAACGAGTCAGCGCCCGCGGCGTCCCACGGAGCTGCGTGGAGAACACGAGGGAGAAAGAGGCACTGACAAGTTCGGTCCCTTTTCAGACCAATCAGACGATATTTTCTTATATGTTCTGACTTATTTGCAGCCCGCCTTTCTAGACATCAGTGATAAAATTCTCAGTATAATCTTGGCTTCACTCATTTCCTGTGATAAAAAATAATGCAAAGCATTTTCAGTTCTCCTTGACAACTGCTTTTCACCTTTCCTTTATAGAAGTTCTGCCTTATCGATTCACTTTGTCTTGAATTTATTAACAAAACCAAATACCATTATGTCCTCCTATAGAAGACCTTAACACTTAGAATTCCATCAATTATAAATGCCATAGTCATTAATTATGAACACTGTCCACTCAGCATACCATACGTTCTGTGACGTAAGTCTGCGTCTAGTTTTCCCGACACTAACATTTGTGTGTTGACACATGCTTTGTCCGCTGTCAAGAAGACTTTCTTGTTTTTATGAAGCTGACCCACTTCAGAATGTCTCGTGCCTCCAATGAAAAGTAAACAGACTTGTGAAAACAGTGGGAAAATCTTCCCCTTTGGATTTTCGCAGCACTTTAAGCTACTTAGTCTGTTGGTTCATCTTTTTGTAATATTCATCACAAGAAAACATAAAGCGCTGGAAATACGTATTTAAATTATGTTGACAAAGGGAATGTTAATGATGGAGCCAGACAAAACCACAGGGAAGTGCCTCCGTTTCAGAGGAGGGCTGATGAGAGACTTTACATCAGAGCCAAGATTTGGACCAGAGCAATGCAGTGGGGTTTGATTCCAAGAGAGGGATAAGATTAGCCTCACACACATGGTTTTGTCTGTGGTAGGACCTTGTTTGGAAAAGGGGTTCTGAGCATAAAAAGGTTCTGCGCTCCCAGGAATGTACTCTCCTCTAGCCGGGAAGACAAGCAACCAGCAGAACTGGCTTTTAACCCATCACCAGCCACCACTCACCTCAGTGAAAATGCCTTGCAGAGCCAACCAATCAGACAGCACCTTGGCTCTAAATGTCAGAAACAGGCTCACTCCAGGGAACACACCTGTGAGTGACAGCCAATCAAACGGCCTCCCTCAAGTAAGCACGCTTTTCCGGACGACGTCAAACCACAAGACCCCTGAACACCCGCATCACCCCAAATCCCCGTGTAGGGTCATCAGTCGGCTCTGCTCAGCGACACCGCGTCTGGCCAGTGAGTGCATCAGCCTTTGACAGTTCATATAGCAGATTGATTTAGGTTAAGTATAAGGTTTGGCTTATGGGCAAGTAGTGTGGTGGCTTATAATCTATGACCTTCAGGTCTACGTTAGTCAGTGTGCTGGCCATTTATTTACATGAGCATAGTGTAGCCCTGTGAATTTTATTTTAATCAACCCACATGTCACATGAGCAAACAGAGGCTCAGAAATGATATGAGTTGGATAATGATACAAATGTAAGGTACAGAGTTTCAGTTTGGGAAGACGAAAAAGTTCTGCAGATGGATGGTGGTGATGGCTGCATGATGATGTACATGTCCCTAATGCCACTGAACTGTACACTTAAAAATGGTTAAAATGAAACTATGCTCGTTAAACAACAACTCCCTTTTGGGGAGATCGAATTTCAGTTTTGCAAGATGAAAAAGTTCTAGAAATTTGCCTCACAACAATGTAAATGTACTTTCAATTACTGAGGTGTACACATAAAAATGGTAAAGACAGTAAGTTTCACACATGTGGGGTTTTTTTTACTGTAATAAAAAAATTTTAAATATGGTTAAAATGGTAAATTTTCTGTTATGTATATTTTATCACAATTTTTAAAAAGTTCTTTGCGGCCCATAGGAACACAAAGTAGATTAGAGGTTGCCCAAAGCTGGAAAAGTGGGGGGGTAATGGGCAGTAAGTGCTAATGGGTACTGAGTTTTTGGGGGGAGGGTGATTAAAAAGCTCTGAATTACAGGGGAAG